CCATTCCTTATGACATCTTGGAATGGTCAACAATATTTTGTAACATTCATAGACGACTACTCTAGATATGGGTATCTATTTCTTATACGTGAGAAATCACAGTTTTTGGATGTCTTTAAAAAGTTTAAGGCCGAAGTTGAGTTACAACTCAACAAACGGATAAAGCATGTCCGGTCTGACCGTGGTGGTGAATACTATGGCAGGTATGACGGATCAGGTGAACAACGTCCAAGACCCTTTGCTAAATACCAAAGGAATGTGGAATCGTCCCACAATACACCATGCCAGAATCACCTCGCATGAACGGTGTATCTGAGAGACGAAACCGAACTCTTAAGGATATGGTAAGAAGTATGCTTAGTCATTCTACTTTACCAGAGTCCCTCTGGGGTGAGGTGTTGAACACAACAACTTATATCTTAAATCGAGTACCAACTAAAGCAGTTGCAAAAACCCCTTATGAGCTTTGGGTTGGGCGAAAACCTAGTCTAAAGCACTTGCATGTGTGGGGGTGTCCTGCTGAGTTGAGGCCTTATAAACCTCACGAAAGAAAATTGGACTCTAAAACTGTCAGCAGCTACTTTATTGGCCATGCTGAGCGATCAAGGGGCTACAAGTTTTATGATCCCACAAGTAGGTCAATCTTTGAGGCGGGAACTGCAACGTTTGTTAAGGACGTTGAGTTTGGGGGGAGAAATCCAGTTAGAGACATTGTCTTTGAGGAGGAAGAGGGAGCAATCCCAATTCCTACTACTACTTTTGACCAAGTGCAGGTTCCTATACCTGTCATTGCTCAAGAAGTAAATTTGGATCCTCAACCAGACAATATAGTGCAACCCATCATTCCATATGGGGTAATTGTTCCTAAGGAACAAACTCAACAACCTCAAGAACCTATGTCATTAAGGCGATCCACGAGAGAAAGGAGATTTGCAATTTCGGATGATTATATCGTATATCTCCAGGAACATGAGGCAGAAATGGAATGTCAAAAGATGATCCAATGAACTTTCATCAAGCCATGCAAAGTTCCAACTCTCATAAATGGATAGAAGCCATGAATGAAGAGTACAAGTCTATGCAAGACAATAAAGTTTGGGAACTTGTCCCATTACCATTTGGTGCGAAGCTCGCAGGTTGTAAATGGATATTTAAAACCAAAAGGGATTCAAATGGTAATGTGGAGAGGTATAAGGCATGTCTTGTAGCTAAAGGCTTTACTTAAAAGGAAGGAATTGACTTTAAAGAAACTTTCTCTCCGGTTTCTACAAAAGACTCTTTTAGGACAATTATGACGCTTATTGCACATTTTGACCTTGAGTTGCATCAGATGGATGTCAAAACAGCACTTCTCAATGGTGACATTGAAGAAACAATGTATATGGTGCAGCCAGAAAACTTTGTGTCAGGAGACCCAAAGAATATGGTTTGCAAATTAACCAAATCCATTTATGGACTCAAACAAGCTTCTTGTCAGTGGTACTTCAAATTTCATGAAGTTATTATTTCGTATGGCTTTGAAACAAATGTAATTGATGAATGTGTGCATCACAAGTTCAGTGGGAGCAGGCACATATTCCTGGTTTTATATGTCGATGACATATTGCTTGCCACAAATGATATAGGCTTATTGTACGACACCAAGAGATTTTTATCATAGAATTTTGAAATGAAAGATCTTGGTGATGCATCCTTTGTATTAGGAATTGAGATACACCGAGATCGTTCTCGGGGTATTCTAGGATTATCACAAAGGAGCTATATCGATAAAATCCTCAACAGATTTGGCATGCAAAATTGCAAACCAGGTGAAACCCCGGTCACTAAGTAAGGCAAGTTTAGTCTCAACCAATGCCCGAAGACCAATCTTGAAATTAAAGAAATGCAAAAGATTCCTTATGCCTCAGCTGTAGGGAGTCTAATGTATGCCCAAGTATGTACACGTCCGGATATTGCGTTCATAGTTGGTATGTTAGGCAGATATTTAAGTAACCCCGGAATGGATCATTGGAAAGCTGCGTAGCCAAACAAGTTATGAGGTATTTACAGAGAACAAATGAATATATGCTCACATATAAGAGATCGGATCAATTAGAGATCGCTGGGTATTCCGACTACAATTTTGCTGGATGCCAAGATAGTAGAAGATCCACATCAAGCTATATTTATCTTTTAGCCAGTGAAGCGATTTCTTGGAGGTCTGCAAAATAGACGCTCATAGCTTCGTCCATCATGGCCGTAGAGTTTGTAGCATGTTATGAGGCCTCAAATCATGGAATATGGCTACGGAATTTTGTCACTGGGTTGTGCATTGTGGAAGGTATTGAAAGACCACTCAAGTTATACTGTGACAATAAGTCAGCGGTTCTATATTCCAATAACAATAGGAGCTCGACAAAGTCAAAGCATATTGGCATCAAGTTCCTAGTTGTAAAAGAAAGAGTACAGAGTGAACAGATTTCCATAGAGCACATTAGAACAAACTCTATGATAGCGGATCTGCTTACGAAGGGACTACCATCCAAGGTCTTTCATGAGCACACTGCTCGTATGGGTGTTGTTCTATTTGAGAACATTTTGGTTTAGTGGGAGTTTGTATTTGTGTTATTGTATTATTGCTTTATGTTAGACTTGAGTTTTATCTATGTACTTAGATTGGTTTCTGCAGAAATGAAGTGTTTAGTTTATTACACTCTGTTACGTATTTTGAAGTATTGATCTCAATAAAGTTAAGTAGGACTAGTTGGAAATAGGCATGTGTGGATCACATTACATGTAATTTCCATGCTACACATCCATGATTGATCTATGTCATTTGGCTATGTTGGTATATGTGACCATTGATAGGTTAAGTTACGATTAATGTAACAAAGACCGTTTTGATCCTATATCAATATAGTTAATGGACAAGATTGTGTGAATACCCTCAGGTTATGATAACAAATTTCTGAGCTCACTAAAGTTAAACACATTTTTCAAGTGACATATGTGGTCCAGTGGGAGATTGTTGGATTAATTTCTAATTGGGACCACATATTTAAATGTGTGTTATCATTTATAAAAAGCCTAAAACTTAAGTGATCTAATTGAGTTATAAGAGGATATGGTTGTCATGGAATTAATGTGTAGATACCATTGTGTAATTTCTATTTCTACGAGGGGCAAAAATAGAAATTGTGATAGATAGTTAGTTTTCCAATTGCAAAAAACTAATAGATTGAAAACAACAAAACAAAGGGGTAATGGTGCCCAATCCTGCCAAGAGATATGCAAAAGGAAAAGTTCTCTGTAATCCTCTCAAGGGAGAAATTCAAAGGTATAAACGTAAGGAAAGGATTGGAAGGCTATCCCATAATCACGCTTCCATCCAACCATCACAATGGATTTGGATACACATCTCTCTTTGATTTCTTAATGATACACATGATACACGATTCAATATTTTAGATTTTTGTATTGCTAAGCAATATAATCTCTTATTAATTTATGCTGCTCCTATAGGCTCAACCCAATTTCTCTGGCCTCAGAGGAGCATTCTGGCTGAAAGCTTCTATTAAGATCCTTATTAATTTTCAATTGCAGACAAATCAGGGGTTGTTTTAGGTGTTCTGGGCTGGAATAGCAATGGCTGAGGTTGCACAAATTATATCTATGGGCTGGTTTGTGCTGCTATTATGTTCTGTGTCTGCATCTTTTTGGCTAGTATATTGGCATATTGCTATCAGTGGCTGCTCTGCTGAGTTAGATTATTGTGTGGTTACGTCTGATTGGCTAATTTGAGGCATATCAGGAAGTGTGTGCTGTTATTCTACCTGGTTTTTTGTGTTTTTCCTTCTCTGTCTGTTGTTATGGCTTCATCTTTTGCCCTATTTTTGTTGGTTACTCATCAACTGGCGCTTGAAGCTTTGTTTTAGTTCCAAACTCCTCTTTATTGATGTAATCTATCATACCTTGTATGTTTTCATCAATAAAGATTTTCTTTGCCGATCAAAAAAAAAAAAAAAAACGCGAGCTTAATTATGCTAGGTTGAACAGAAAATATCTTGAAATTATCCAAAAAAGAGCTGTCTAAGATGAAAATCTCGTGGGCAGGTTTTGAATGAGATTCTGCGGCAATGAATTTAACAAGTCCATCAAATAAGCACTTGCTAGGCAAATAAGCATCTAACTTAGGCATTTGATGAGCCACCAAATGCTCAACGTTAAGGAATAAAATTGTCTACATTTTTTTAAAGAGAAAACAGCTGTTAGTATTAATATTGTGTTTGGTTTATTATAAATGAAATAGAATAGAATGATTCTTCTATCAAATATTCATTTTCATGTTTGTTTTACTAGTATATACATATTGCAGATGAAATTATCATTCATTATGTAAAGAAATGGTTAATTCCATAAAGACATTAAAAAATGATCATTTCATTTCCATTCCTGTCATGACCTAAACCTGCCCTGAAAGCTTGGTTCATAACCAGTCAGTAATCACGTGATCACCTACCTCCTCATACAGAAAACAAAAGGAAGAACTATTATAAATATTGTCCATTGAGCATTGCTTAAATGATCAGGATAAACTCTCATATACATATCATGATTTCCCACATAACTTATATACATAGGAGTCATCAACATTAAGTTTACATATAAATCATAAACCCATTTTAAAAAAACCAAACAAAAGATATACACCAAATAGAACAAAGCCCTATCTTGGAGGCTTGGCATGAATAGGGTCCATGTAGGCAATTCCTGAAGCTGACTCTAAGGTTGACCTCTTTGCTGATCATCCTACATACATATAAAATAGGGAGCGAGTGAAACTCAATGAAATAATAATAAGGTAAAG